GGATGAGAAAAGAAAAAGGCTGTGAGCCGTGGCGATGTCTCCCGAAACTTTGTCACTTGTGCCTCATGGTATGTCCTCCATCGAACGTTACACCAACTCGGTCGTCGCCCGGGTTACCAAGGGCCACGCAGGCTGTTGGAAAACTGTACCAAGCTCGTACGTTCATGCGGTGCATATGCGCTTTATGGACACAGAAAAACCTATGACTGGATCCCGTGCAACCTAATGCGGGATCGATGGCCAGTTGATAGGGGTATCCAGTGGGTATATGCTAAAAGCAGGTGCTGCGTCAGACTAAATGACCTTAAGTCGAAAACTTTCAGTGTTGGTACTGGTCTATGCCGAGGCTGTGCTCTGTCCCCTCTCCTGTTCGTGTTGAACATGGATAGAACAGTCTGTGACAGCCAGGGTTACGAGTTATATCACCGTGGTTGATGGCGAGGCGAGGAGTTTATTGTGTGCAGACGACCTTGCTTTGTTGGCATCTTAGAATACTGGTCTCCAGGGTTCTCTGGAAAGGCTCGCCTCCGAGTGCGGCATGAACGGCATGCATATGAGCCTGTCTGGAAAAAAACAGCCAATGCTTTGCTGCTCTTCTGCCCATTGCTCTCTGCAGATGAACTATGAAACAGTGGGAAAGGTGAAGACGTTCGCGTAATTCTGGGACGTGTTTGCTGATGATGGAAAATGTGAGGTATGGACTGATTGGCGTATTCAAATGACCAGCGGCGTATTACTCGAACCAACCTGAACCGTTATGACTAATGCAAAGCTGAGTGTGAAGACTAAGCTATCGGTGTTCAGTTCGATCGTCATCTCCATACTTACTTACGGTCATAAGCCGTAGGCCATGACTAAATAACTTCGAACCCGGGTACAAGCTGCTGAAATAGGCTTTCTGAGACGAATCGCTGGACTCACGCACCGCGACGCGATCCGGAGTAGTTTTTGACATCCGTCAGAGCCATGGTGTTCAGATTGAGGAGTGACAGCTGCTGTGGTTGGGGCACCTGTTGCGAATGCTTTTGGGAAGGAAGACAAAACAGCCACTATTTGCATTTGCCCAATCGACCGACCGAAACCTCGCCAAGGATGACGTTGGACAAGTGTTTGGAAGGACTCTGTTCTAATCTTGGGTTGACTTTTGCAAATTTCAGACACTGGCACGAGATCAGAAGCAAAGGAGACACCCTCAGATGCACCTGCGTCCCGAAAAAATAACAGGTCATGAGAACCGACTGACGACTGTTACTGCTGTCAGTCAGAGATTTGCTTCCAAAATGCTTTCATGATGCAGACGGTCAGACGACATGATGCACTTGATAAAAATGGTTATCCTTCACATCATAGAGACTACACAAGGGTTTAAGGGCATCGTAATGAATTAATGCATAAACGTCTTTATTCTTTCAGAAAGGAACAAAAAATAGAACTTTTGAAACCATTGAAACGTTGGTCTTCGGTGCACTTCCATTATGAAGTTTCTGGCGCCATTCTTTTCATGAAGTTAATGATGGAACTCTCATCACCATTACTATGCCATAAGTCAAAAGTACCTCATTTTATAAGCATTGACGACAACGACAAAGTGACAAGTGCATTATGTAGCCTCCTGTTTACTTTCCATAAAATATTACTGATGTATGAACGTCGGAAGGAAGAAAAGTTAGGACTCCACCTTTGCTTGAACGCGGCATTGTCGACTCTGAGTCCGACGCTGAACAGACTGAGGAACCTTGGTCATTTTTTCGTTCATGCATCGAAACAGGATGCCAGTTGACTGATTGATTAACCGACCGATATACTTTGAACATCCTTTGCCGAAAACGAAAGTCAAACGGTCTTCAGAACAGTTGGTGGGTGCCATGGTTTCACCTCCATTACAACAAAGATGTCTAAGGACTTTGGGCTTCATTATAACTTCAGATTGTTACTGACTGCTACAGGAAACTTTTTACATAACCAGTTTTCAATATTACCGGTTGACCTACCGAAAACTGTTGCTTCAGCAGTGAGAAAAAGAGCATAAAAATTTTCAGCATGGAATCAAAAGGAATTATCGAATATTAGAATTATTTTACACACCACGATCAATAGCCAAACCATTGATGAAATTCTGCTAAAGTATTTAATGAAAAATAGCTATTTGAATATCGCCATGAACGTTACGAAAAAGATTAATGCAAAAAAACGGTTTTAAGCGTGGTGACAGCCCTTAAATAACGCTTTCATAGAATGATGACAGAACTTCTTCATGTGACCAAATAACGCGTTTAATTCTCTCTGTTGTTCTTCTGACGGCGTTGTCCCGAGACACGTCAAGAACGCCTTTGCAGGATCGAACGATTCAGCATGCAGTTGCTTGCGACAGTTCTTGAATATGTCGAGGATAGTCGTGTTTTGGCAGTCCGGAGTAACCCTGCAAGAAGAGGCAAGAGGCGGTGACGAGTTTCTCAGCAATGAGTGAAAATACGTACTTTGACCAACATGATTTTTGACTATCGCACACTTGCTTCCTCTTTTCAGAGATGAATTCATGCGCCGACTGCAATTCTTTATGCAAGCAGCTGGTCACATCCTCCTGTTTGTCAGCCGGACAGTTGTGCTTGACCAGCTCAGATCTGAACGTACATACGACATTGAGTCTTTTCATGAAATATTGCAACGGGACACGAAAAGCGACTAGTAAATATTGACGGACGAGTTGAATATACGATTATAGCTTTAATACATCTTTCGAGCATAAGAATGTAACCTATGTCGCATTTGTAAAAATGTTGGTCAGCAAACAGAATATTAGTCGACAATATGCACTTATATTCTTTATGATAATCAATATGATAAAAGTTCGGTATGAAAGTCAGGAAATAGTATCACGTCAGAATTCAGCGTCATAAGTTAATTTCCTAATGCCTAAATGTTTTTCCCATATTGTTCAAAATTATGCTTGTCTGCACGTTGTAGAATAGCGTAGCTCCATAAAAGACATGTCCACTGATCGGTGGTACCGCTCAAGGTACCCAATGGCTTTCTATTTGACTTTAATCATGCAAATAAAACCGTGAAACCGTTCTGCTGAGAGATATGACAAAACAGCTTTAACCGACGATATATTGCGGCATGATTTAATATGAGCATTTCAGCATACTACAAGCAATGCCATCTATAGTCGAAAGACCATAAATGAAAGGAAACTCTAGGGATCATTTCTATCGATAAAAAGCACAATACACACAATGAAACGATATCACAAATTGATACCAACTTTCAACTGGACTTGCTATCCTTCTTCAGTCAAATGACTTGACTGACAGTTGTCGTGATTATGTGATTATTATAGGTTGCTACTTGTTTTCCACCGGTCATCGGTATGGTCACTATGGTCGGTTAATATTTTGATGAACCTTTAATGAGGATCAGATTTGCGCGGTTCATGAATATTTCCATTCCACGGCCCTTGTTCGTATTATTACAGATTATTTGAGTCAAAGATGTGTTTTAGTGTAGGGAAGACGCCCTCAAGGATGACGGATCATCCCTGGCAGGGCAGCATGCAAACAGTGGTGACTATGGAGATGGGCTTATTAATGTCAGCGGTATGGTATGAGCAAAACTTAACTGTACAACATGTTGAACGCTCTGGCAGGTGCCGCACATCGATTGACTTCCGCAACTCAAAAATACTATGAACAATAGTATAAACGAATGCGTCGACCGTGAACAGAGAAGCAAGTAATCCTGGAGGCTTAAACGGCGGAGTGCAAGAGTGGCGCGTAGTCATCATCAGCTGACGGTAGGTCTTAAGATTGTTGAGGGACATGAATCTCATTACAGAAAAGCTCATTAGAGGTTGTTGCATCGGATAAGCCTGTCGGCTGCGTCGTTTGTAGTAAAACTGTGCTAATGCTGTTTTCAACTATGGCATTTTATAAATATGAACAAAATATTCGGTAACATTGACCTGAAAAGGAGAGGAAATCACAGAATCACTCAGTAGCAACATGTTTAACGTGGTGTTAGGTTAAACCTATTCATAAATAAATTCATAAATTTATGCCGATGACTGAAAGCAAATGCTTTTGATTCCATGACTGACAACACGAAAGACAAACCACGTATTCGTATTTATGGGGATCGATGCAAATTTCTTCCATATGTCAGATTCTCGTTAAATAGCGAATTCATTTATTTTCTTTCATCTTGCCAACCTTACAGTCAGAAGACGTACTCGCTTCCATGAATATTCATCATCATATGCCTCATAATAAAATTCATATCTTTAGCTGACATCATGGCGAGTGATTCCTCAGAGATCAGGGCTCACTGCGTATTCCATTACCATCGTACTCAGAGTTTTCCGAGGGGCATTTAAGCGGGCCAGAACTCCATTGCACTTACGCACTTGCAACGGCAGAAACTTTTTGCATCATTTTGTTCGCAAAAGCCACCTCTCGTTCATCCGAAACGGTGGTTCCGGAGCTGCTAGTTTTTATATTCTATCACATAGCCCGATATAGCAAACGTTATTAGTTAGTAACGAGTTAAAAGCGCTTTCATTTTGTCTGAGGTTATCACGCTTTGAAGAGTTAACGATGTTCAGTCAAAAGACAATAAACGCCTTACTCCACACTGTGCTTATGTTTCTTCGCTTCCGTGAAGTAAAACGCCAGATTTTCCACGCGTAGATCAAATCCAGGAATGGATTTCTCCACACAGCCAAGCATCTTCGCCTTGATTTCAGAAATCGTCGTGTTAAAGCATTCGCGCACCTTCTCTTGCTGGCTTGAATCCGGAAAGATGTCGTTCAACATATTCGGTGAATACCACCCCGTAAGCTTGCAACCGTTGCTAAAATATAACTCAACTGTTGAACAAATAATACTTTCGTTAAGCAAAACTTAACGAATAAAACATTCAGAGAGGTCATTTAGAACAAGCAAATGAGTACCTCGACAGCATTTATATATAATAAATTCATGATAAATAATTCATAAATTGCACAAGAATTCGAGTCAATCTTAGTATATGCCCATTATGCTTCCATTTTTGTTCAAAACATTCACTAAGTCAATCAACCAATCGGTCAGTCATTCTGCAAGTCCGTCAATTGGTTAATCAATCTGTAAATCTACTGTTTCATGCTGCTGCTCAGGCGAGTCCTCTTGCAGTTGCTCAATGTCAAGTAGTTCCTCGAAGTACTCTCTCCATCACCAAAGAATATCGTCATCCTCTGTAACAAGATGTTCGAACGTTTTTCAGGATTCTTGTACTGCTTTTCTTTCTATCTCGAACGTGTCGAATGTTCTGCCAGAATACCTTGTTTGCCGTCTGGAAATTCGAATCCAACAGCCCATCAAACATTTTGCTTTCGCTGGCACCTTGTTGCTTCTTCTTACCGAACTCGAGGTGAAGAATCTATGCTTCTAAGGCCATATTTTAAATGCAGCCTTCCTCTCTCTGGCAGAAAGTTGAACCTCTGGTGTTGACCAGGAGGCTCTGTTCTGATCTTCAGACGGCAGATTAATTCATTTTAAACCGCAGATTTTGGCAGAAGCCCCTGAGTAAGCCGCTTTTAAAGAACTTCCACTTCACTCTTCTCCTAGTCATCCGTCAATAGGGACATCTTCCCAAATCGTCGTGCGATGTTGTGTGAAAATTATGCAGACAATAATGATTGCCATTTGTTTCCCTAATTGCCCATGCAGTTAAGTCTGCATATGGTACTCGGTCATCTACAGCGGAGTGCGCGAGAAGCACGTGATGATCTATTGACAGATCCATATATTCTTCATAGCGAACTACAAACTTTTGTCTCCCAGGTGCAAGGAGGTTGCTAATGAACACATAATACCGGGGTTTATTCTTGATGAGTCGTCTATCACCTTTGGACATTGTGGTAAGAAATTCCAGAAGACTGGCTTAAATTTTGAAAACTACCCATACAACGCGTGAAGAGTCATAACCATTTTTTTCTGGCCATCTTCGGGATCGCTTTTTTTGAAGTGATCCTCTAGTATCTGCGACAAGTCTTGATGTAAGTTAGGGTTGATGCAATTTCAGTGTAGAATGATATCATCTGATCTCAGAGGAAGCTAATACAAAATTAGCCAGCAGAGGGTACCATCTGTTGAAAAGGATATGGTAAAGCAAGAGGTAGATAATATTTTGCATTCGGTACATTACTGGTGAAGAAAGTAGTGAAAATTTTAACACATTTAAGTTTCCCGTCATGAAGATGAAATGGCAATATCTAGAAGAAGAAAAGTAAGGCGAATGTGAGGCACTGAGTTTATGAGCCGTGCTACATCAAAAAATGTACATACCTTGCACCTCTATGTCCCATATCATGTATTTTCATGATAATTTTCAAAATAGTTATTCTTAGTTTCATTCGGAAAGTTTCGATACTTTTCTATTACCAATAAGATTATCATTATAGCCAGAAAAGAATTCGATAAAAACTTTGTGCCTTCGAGTTGAAGTGCGGCTGCGAGACTCGGTTCCGAGGTTGGTAATCATTTGTTGATGGCTTTTTCATATTCCGCTAACAAGCAGTCAGCCACTGAAAGTTATTGAAGCAAAATGATTGATCGCATGCTTCAAAAGCTGAAAGGCATTGCCAGTTTCTTCTTGCTTGAACTTTTACAAAAATAAATTATCACAAGTAACAGATTTATTTATGAACATAATTTTCCAGTTAATGCGTTACCCTAACCAG